TGCCGTCTAAAGCAATCCAATGCTTCTGACTTGTGAGAAATCAGATAGACATGACCAAAACGTGTGCAATCATCTATAAATGTGATGAAATAGGGGGCTCCATGCCTTGCCCTCACTTTCATTGGTCCACATATATCAGAATGAATAAGTTGCAATGGGATAGATGCCCTTATGGCTTTCCCAAATGGTTTTCTTGTTGCCTTTCCAGCAAGACAGTGCTCACAAGTAGGCAAAGTGACTCTAGCGAGTGGGCCTAAAAGACCTTCTCTAGCCAATCTAGTCATCCTGTCTTGCCCTATGTGGCCTAATCTAGCATGCCATCTCATAGAATCATTATCACAAAAAGATGCAATATTAGAAACAGAGCCATTGGCATTTTTATTAAAACTAGAATCATCCACATCCAAAACTAAAAAAGCATCTGAAAGATAACCAAAACCATAAAAAAATTGTTCCCAAATAAATGCTATCACCATTATTCTCAAAACAAAAGCTAAAACCAAGGTTCATCGTACTAATAACTGAAACTAAGTGTCGCCGGAGCATAAAGAACATCATGAAGATACAAGGTGCGCCCTCGTCGCATTTCCAGCTTGTATGTGCCAATGCCAAGCACCTCCACACTGGACTCGTTTCCCATGTAAACTTTTCTGCTGCCAGCAGGTATTCGGCGATTCTCAACGAACCCTACTCTATCCCTCGTGATGTGGTATGTTGCTCCAGAGTCTACAACCCAAAAATAATGAGAATGAGCAATTAATGCTTGACTAGAAACAAAGCATTGAATGCGAGAAATTAAGTAAGGGAGTGCCTTCTTCTGCTCAGGACAATCCCGAGCGAAGTGTCCTTCTTTGTTACAGTTAAAGCATGTCAATTTAGCCTTGAAATTTCTAGCGCCATTGGGCTTTAATGCAGCTACTACTTGCTTCTTAGGGACACCTTTTGCTTTTTCACATTTGAACTGAGAAGTTCTACGTGAGCTCGACTTAACTACCATAGTAGAATCATCAGACTTAGCCACCTCAATGCGCTAAGCCTCTAGCTCCAAATGACGCGATATGTCTTCGAATGTTTTCACTCTCATTATGCATCATGTTCTGCTTCATCTGCTCCCAAGAATTTGGCAAAGAGTGAATCACTACTTGTACTTGCTGCTCTTGAGTCAAATTGTGCCCAGCAGCCGCAAGCTCACGTATCATGGCTGCCTGACCCTCAAATGTTGCTTCATCGAGTGATGCGCCCTTTTCTGATAGGAGTCAAACTTCATAGTCAGCCCACGTAGCTTTGCCAAAGAGGTAATGCCAAACTTTTGCTTGAGAGCTTCTAATATCTCAAATGCAGTCGAGCAATGCTCAAACTCACTAATCAAGTCGTTGTGCATGCTGCTCAACATAGTAAAGCACGCACATCGATCTTTGTTACGCCAAGTCTGAAAGACTATAAGATCACGACGATGTTGAGTTGTATTGCCCTGCTCTAGCTCAACCATCGCTTGTTCAAGTGTGGTCAACACTTCTTGCTCATTAAGGAGGTATTGGATCTTACGGCGCCATATGTCATAATTGGCGCCATCTAATTTCCCTCCCTTAGTTAAATCTACCACAACTGTCTTAGTAGCCATTTCTACATACAGAGTAAACAAATGCGCGGGGGATATTAATGATAGAAACACAAAAAAAAATTATTTTTGCAGCAAAAAAATCTAAATTAAATAATGATAATTTTACACATGTCTCAAGATCGAAAATTCGCTATGCTCGTAAACATCTCTTGCGCCTCTAGTGATAATTATCAAAATTTAATTTAATTCCATGCACAAAAAAAAAACCAAAAAAAAAAAAACAATCAGTCTCCCACTACTTATGGCATATACTAAGCATGGTAAATTCCATACAATAGCATCTTAATAAATGACTCATGCTATATTCATTTAATAATGGAATTCAAATAAATAAATAAAAACTAAGCATGCTTCTCTAATCACAACATATTACAAACCCTAAAAAAAATAATATGTTGTGTTCAATATTCAGATTATGCCATAATAAAATGTACATCTTTCTGAAATTTTTTCTGGAATTTTCTGGAATTTTAAATAACTAATAAACACACATAAAATTAGAAATAAATATTTCAGAATCTGGTGGGCTGAAACAATTATACCAATAAATGGTAAAACTTTGCAGTAGTCTACAATAAAAATTTCAACCCCAGAAAATTAATCATGTAACACCAGAAGCATTTTAAAGCAAAAATAATGAATTATTATCACAAAAAAATATTTTTTCTTTGCATAAAATTTTTAAAATTTTACACATGATAGAAAATTTAATTTTGAGTCTAACAGTACCAACCACACATAAAACAAATGTATAATGAATTATTTATGACCATTTAATGTGATTCAGAATTAAAAACAAAACGAACAGTGCCTTAACATCAGCAGCCAGGCCAGCCAAGTTGGCGGAGGAAAACGGAACGGCGCAGCACGGCTCAATAGGCGGCTCAGCACGTGTGGACAGCGCCGCTAACGTGCCCGTGATGTGCCCGTGATGGCACGTGTAGGCGTGTGGGAAGTGTGCCTGGCGCGTGGAAGCGCGTGGCAGCCGCTCACGGCGTCAGATGGCGCATGTGGCCCACGCGCCGCCTTCCAGGGTGTTTTCTGGACCAATTTCAGTACTGTCGAACTCCATTTTCCAAAATAAAAACATTTATGGTCTTAAAAATGACATTTAATGAACATAAAAATGAGGTATTTTACACTCTCAATCTAATGAGAGTGGAAGTGCAGAAACCCTGCACTTCATCTTCATCCTTCATTGATTTTCATGCATATAATGTGTATATATTAATAAAAATATACACATGATTTTAAAAAAAAAAAACACGAAAATACTCATATAGCTCTGATACCAATGTAAATCAAAGTATAACGCAGTGGATGAAAAATTTCAAAATCATACCTTTTTAGCAGAGTCTGAAGTGAAGAATCTCATGGGTAAATCACGTGCTTCCAGAATGTGAACAACCAACCCAACAGTGGAGTGATACTACAAAATGAGTATCACCCACACAAGTCACAGTGCAAAATGGCTTGATTGTTGTTTAATGGGAGAGAGTCAGTATGGGAAAAACAAAAACATACGTTGTTTGCTGATACCCATATCCCATGTATCATATCAGATATAGAGGATAAATATATCATCTATCCATATTAGTTGATATGATAGATATAGATATCCTAAGTGGTTATCTAAATAAGTTTTGAATTCAAATTCAAACATACATGGACAAGGTTCAAAAAGTTCAAGTTCAAAAGGTTCAACAGGTCATGCCACATAGGCGCCCAATTTCTAACACTGACATTCTTGAACGACCCAGTATTCAAGGCATGGTCCATTTGGCTCCACCCGAACCCACAGACTATAACAATGCCCCTTTGTTACGCGTTCAAGTCAACTTTTTCCATGCGGCGGAGTGGCTATTACAGTGCAAGTTTCCCACAAGATCAGTGATGGAGCCTTCTATTCCTCATTTATCAAGGCTTGGTCTAAAATTGCTCTAGGATCCCCCAACACTGTAGTCCCAGATTTTACTGTTGTCTCCTCTCGCTTCCCCCCAATAGAGGACTTCCCAGTTACATCGTTAACATTCAGTGGAAAAGGCCCAAAGGTCGTTTCAAAGAAGTTTGTGGTCGATGCCTCTAAAATCGCTGAACTCAAGGCCAAAACTGCCAGCACGAGCATGCCACAACCCACCCGTGTCGAGGCTGTCACAACGCTCTTTTGGAAATGCGCACTGGTTGCATCCAAATCAAGATTTGGTGGGAATCGAAAGTCGTATGTGCTGATGGGAGCGATAAACTTGCGGTCAAAGCTTATACCACCTTTGCCAAAACATAGTTTAGGAAATGTAGTAGGAACGTTCCAGATAATAATTGATAACGATGACGATGACTACGAGAGTGAAGTAACAGACATGTCGGGCTTGGTGTGTAAGTTGAGGAAAGGGGTTGAAGAATCTGTCATGCAGAACAATAATTTGTCGACCAAGGCACCGCAGGCGAAGAAGGAATATGATATGGAGATATACTTCCATAGCAGCTGGTGTCGGTTTTCTCTATACGAAGCAGATTTTGGATGGGGGAAGCCGACATGGGTGGGGGTTGTTGGTCAGGGTTCTATTTCCCCACCTGGAATTACATTGATGGATACAAGAGATGGTGAGGGAGTAGAAATTTGGTTGGCTCTAATTGAAGAGGACATGGCCATAGTTGAAGCTAACCAGGAGTTGCTGTACTATGCCTCACCAAACGAAGCAGCTCTCTAAAACAACTAGTCCAGTCCTGTGGATGGATGGATCATGGTCAATGATGGTTTCATTATTATCTTTCTTCCCATGTATTTCCAAGTTTTATGTATTAAGAATAAGTGCTGAAATGAAGTATAAAAAGCAATAAAACATGCAATCAACTCACGCCAATGATGATTAAAGCCTTAAAACACTAAGCTAGTGAAAGGGGTTACACTACAACTATGCAAAACAAGACTCAAACGAACTAACTAGCCCAAAACAGAGCTAAGATAGGTTATTTCAAAGGCTAAAACATGTTGGACTTAAGCTACAAATTGCTAGAAAAATAGGCTAACACATGTAGCTAACTAGGCATGCAAACATGACACAAGGAGGGGAGGCTAACCCCTCCAAATTTGGACCTCAAAATAAGTTTTTTGCCACTGAAAAACCTCTGAAATTCAGTTGTTAAAAGGCCCAAAAAAGTTGATTTGAAAGTGATGAATAAAGGCACAAAAGCTTTACAAACTAATAATCAAGAAGGGTGAACCACTCCCTAACTAAAAAAAAGGGCTCAAACCAGCACTTTTAGGCCACAAAAACATGACTTTTCTTAGTTCAAAACCAGCCCCAAAAAAGTAAGGAAAGATGGTAAAACAAGCTTGCAAAACAAAGTAAACGAGGTAGGTAAACTACCTTTTGAAGCAAAGGGCAATTCTAGGCACAAAACCAAGCTAAAACCACCTTCAAGAGCTCCAAGAAAACCCTAAATAACATTAGCTCAAAGGTAAGAGGATTTGATTTAGGATGTGTATGCAAAAGTGTAGAGAAAACAAACAATTAGGCACAAAATTATAAGAGAGAGAGAGAGAGAAATCTAGAGAGAGAGAGAGAGAGATTTTTGCTCTAAATTTTCTAGCCTTAAAAAATGGGAGAAGAACCCCTCTATATATAAAAAAACATGCCTTGAGCTTAGAAACATCCTACCATACACGTGTAGGAAGATGCAGCTAATTGTGCTAACAGTTGGCACAGCTGTCAACAAATATTAACAAATATCTGGAAAAAGAGACTGGTGGCCGTTAGCCACCATTGGTTATCGACCGGCCACCACTAGTGGCCAACCGGCGACACCAATGGTCGACAAGCATAAGCCATGGTCGACAGCCTATGGTGGTGGCCGACAGGTCACCACAAGTTCCAGGCACCAAGTTTTGATCCAAAACAAGGCATAGAAAGGACAAGGTCTAAAGGCTCAAAGACAGGGCGTTCCGCCGAGGACTTCGGGCACTCAAAATGAACACATGCAACCATAATCATCAAATGCACAAGTGATGATATTCAAGTCTTGAGGATGGTCAAAAATGGTGTGTTTATAGTTGCTCCTCTTTGACAGAACTTAGAAGTCATGAAATGACGGGAGTGAATGTCAAAGCCCAGAGATGACCCATTTTGACAAGGCCGAAGAGTTAGACAAATAATACAAGTAAGACAAAAACGGTTGCGCCCGCAGGCTGCCTACGTATCCCTTTGCAAGGAATCAAACCAGCATAGTTCTAGGGCAAGATGCAAGTGATATGCATGATGCAAGAACATAACTTATGATCATGCAATGAGGTTGTAATGAAACATTTAAATGCAAATGCTATGCAATGAAAATGAGACACTCAAACAAACCAAAACAAGGTATAGCAACCTCAAACACAAATGTAAGTAAACACGCCACACGTGGGAATTACGAACCAAACCACATTTCATGTAGAAAGGACGTAAGAAAATTATGCATGCTTAACTACGCGACACGCAAGAAAGGCGAAGAGCGACCGTCGGGCGCACCCGAGGTCTCAATCGAGATCCTAATGTGTTACACATAGAAGGAAAAGGGTGGTGTGAACACCGGGACGCACCCGAATGTGTTTAACCAAAACAAACAATCCCAACGCATCTCACACATGAGGGGAAAATGTGGTGTAAACACCAGGATGCGCCCAAATGTTTTTAACTAAAGGAAGTGGTGTAAACATCGGGACGCACCCGAATGATTTTAACCAAAAGGAGTGGTGTAAACACCAGGACGCACTCGAATGATTTTAACCAAAAGGAGTGGTGTAAACACCAGGACGCACCCGAATGATTTTAACCAAAAGGAGTGGTGTAAACATCGAGACGCACCTGAATGCTTTTAACCAAAAGGAGTGGTATAAACACCGGGACGCACACGAATGCTTTTAACCAAAAGGAGTGGTGTAAACACCGGGACGCACCCGAATGCTTTTAACCAAAAGGAGTGGTGTAAACACCGAGACGCACCCGAATGCTTTTAACCAAAAGGAGTAATCCTAACATGTCTCACGCGCGAGAAGAGGGAGTAAAAGGATGTGATTCGAAAGGGACGAATGACTTCACCTGGAACTCCTCTGAACGAACCGTACATACAATATCGTTTGACTGCGTTGGCTCTGTTGAATGAACCGTACATACAATATCGTGCCTGAATAAGAAAAACTCAACAAGTACAACATATTAAGGGTGCATGTTCTATACACAATTACAATTACAGTAAGGCATGTTCTATGCAAAGTATTGAATGCATGTTCTTTGCTAAGTACAAAATTCATGCTCCGTGCGCAATTAATAGCATGTGTAAAATACACGTTCTACATGTGCAATAAAGGGATGCATAGCCTACGTAAGAACGAAAGTGTATTCTAACGAAACAAGTTCAATAATAACTTTTCGATTTACCTCTCAAAAGAGTTACGACATGCAAAAAAGATACACCTCGTTCAACAAGTGATTAACAACGATCACTGAAAACACAATTTCGAGCTTCCGCAGAGAGAATCTGAACTCAACAGTGACCTTCCCTTGCACCTCTCGGGAAACAGGGACAACAACAACAGATTTTCTTCACTAAACCCTCTTAGTTTACTTCGTTTTGAACCGCTTGAAATTTGATTTCGGTGCTTTTTCTTGGAGTTTCACCACTTGAGGCTTGTTCCGCTCGAGTTTCTCTTGGGTTTGGTGCCTTATTCCGGGCTTTGACTTTTTCTTCCATTTTCTCTCTCCTAGGGTTTGACTTTTTCAAAGTTTACCCTATTTTCTCCATTTTCTTCACTGTTCATCAACTCTTCACCCATATTCCAGATGGCAGATGACATACCACATGATGGAGCTCCTCTAGAGGTGGAGTTCGAGGCGGAGTTTGATTCTAAAGTGAAGCCGGAGCCATTACCACCACGAGTGAGGCCTTTTGATCCGACGAGGTATCATCATCGGATGCATATTCTGTCTGCTAGAGGCATTAGGCACTTCACTGATTTTGCTACTGACATGCCAGCGGATCTCCTACTGAGGGAGCCAGATTCCCATCTTTCAGCCGTTGCCGTTGAGGTACAAACTTTATTCACTTGCACATCTAACGTTTTTTACTTGCATTTCATGCGCTGTCTCTCATCTGACTGTACTTTCATCACTGCCACTCAATTTGTTTTGCACTTCATTTTCATCTAACTGTACTTACACTGGTTCACCTGTCCTTTGCCACAGGGTGACTCTCACGTATACAGGGGTTTTGGGGCCACGACGGCTAGAGATTGCTATGATGAGCTCCCTGTAGGAGTACGAGACATTGTTGACGAGACCGACTTCGGCCTATTCTGCTCTAGATTGACACGAGTCATAACGAGCCGTCCACTTCTTGGAGCGCTAGTGGAGAGATGGTGGGATACCACCAACTCTCTCCACCTTTCCACCTCAGGGGAGATGACGGTGACTCCTTACAACTTTGCCATGATCACTGGCTTAGGCGTAGGGGGCAATTCGATTCCTCTCTTTCTTGATATGGGGAAGTGGGAGGCAACGTGGCTCGAGCTACTTGGGACACATCCATCGATATACCAGACAGGTATGGTGCGATACACCTGGTTCGAGGAGCTGTTCAGGAGGACTGAGCCAGAGATGATAGAGGAGATAGAGTAGTATGCCAGGGGTTTTCTTATGTTCATCTTCGGTACCACCCTGTTTTCAAACAGGTGGAACACTGTGGGCCTGTATTTGCTGAGTGCCTTAGTGACTCTTCCTCGAGTTTAGTTTTATGATTGGGGCGAAGCCAACCTCACCACATTATACGGATATATGAGTTCTTCCTCCCGTCTGAGAGGGAACTTGGTTGGAGGCTACTAGCGAGCCTGGGAGGTACACTTGTCAGTTCCCTCTTTAAACTTTACATTTTCTGCTCAGCATTTCTTGCTTTATATATGTTCAACACCTGTGCTTTCTACTTTGCACTTTCTGCATCTGTTCATGCCCTGTGCTTTCTACTTTGCACTTTCTATATCTGTTCATACATTGTTGATCACATATCACTGCACTTTCCTTGCAGCTATGGGTTTATGCATATTTTCTAGCCTTTGCTCCAGAGCCTATGGAGGAGCTTTCCCCGATGGTTCCCTACTCAAGGCGGTATGATGGTCGATGTCAGCATCGAAGTCGCGAGTCCTTTGCTTTCTTCCACTATTACTTTGACACTGTGGCCGCCTACGAGGTAACTTGAAACACAGTCATTTTTTCTTTACAACTGTTCTGATTCACATTTTGGAAACTGACGACAACTAACTATCTATACATTCCCTGTTTGCAGATTGCGTGGCAGCCTTGGGCCATGATGTCAGGGAGGGTGTGGGACCAGTACACGGGAGCATGGGGTACGTCGTGCTTCTGGATCCTGTTGGACGGTCCAGTCTGCCAGGCATGGTTCTTGAGTGAGAGATTCGTTCGCCAGACTGTGGGCTTGCTAGATCCAATCGTTCCGATGCCATCTCCGGAGTCTATGAGGTCAGCGAACAGCTTATCTGTTGATGCAGTTACACAGTTTATGGTAGGCTTGGATGTTGATTTCTTCAGAGACAAGGGCGACTACGTGACCTTTCCTCTAACGTGGCGAGGGGGCAGGGGCTACGCATGGCGACTCAGGCGACTAAGGCCCGTGCTAGAAGGGCTCCCCCTATTGAACATGCTATTCATTGGCCAGAGCT